AATAATATAGATAGATAAAAATAAATAATAATAATAATAATAATAATAATAATAATAATAATAATAATAATAATTCATCCACAATTTCACATGCAGTTCACCTGACCTTACATGTGACATTAACCCCCCTTATAAATTCTCCAATTAAGCCCATTTTTTTTCCAATCTCAAACAAACAAATCCACACACAATGGAAACATTACATTCAAACATCACAAAACCATATCTCCTCACACTTCTCCTCCTCCTCCTCCTAACCTCAAACCCTAAAATCTCATGCTCAAAAGTCCCCAAATCCTACACAAACTTCATCAAGAAATCTTGCAACTCCACCACGTACCCCACCGTTTGCACTAAGACCCTCTTCCGATACGCGGCCGCCGTTAGGGCCAACCCTTTCAGGCTGTGCACGGCCGCCCTCTCAGTGGCCACTCAATCGGCCCGCGACTGCTCAGCCATTGTCACGGGCCTCGCGGCCCGCAAGGACGTGTCCCGGCCCGAAGCCCGGGTGTTGAAGGACTGCATGTGGGGCCTCAAGGACGCGGTGTACCAGCTGAGGCGGACTGCTGGGGCCATGGCCCAATTGGGTGGGGCTGACCGGGAGTTCCAATGGGGCAACGCCAAGACTTATGCGAGTGCGGCCATCACAGATGCTGACACGTGCGTGGATGGGCTTTTTGAGGGCCGGAAAGTGGGCCGGGCCATGAGGAGCAGGATTAAGGGTTGCGTATCGGATGTGGAGAGGCGGATCAGTAATGCACTCTATCTTATCAACCATTTGTATTGAGTTTGTTGTTATGAGTTGACTTGATTTGTCTGCTTCGCGTTGACTTTTTACGGGCGGTGGTGATTGGATTTGGGGTTTATGAGTATAAAGTAAGATTTATGAACTTTTTTATGTTTCGCTAATTGGCTTTTGCTCAAAAAAAGGTAAAACTTCTGTACGGTGAGATTTGTGCAACGCTGATTGATGAAGGTTATGCTTAATTAATGTGAACTGTGCAATATTAATTAGTATTAGTAATTATATATATATAAATAAAATATTGTGAGTTATATGTGTAAATATAATATTAAATAGTAAATTAAATAATG